AATTGGTGAAATGGCAATGTGAAAATATACAGTTGTTTACGCAAAACGTCTCATGCCTTCCCCAAGTTCCAAAAATATGCATCCTCGGCATGTACACAGCTGCCAACAGATCAAACAGCCAAACTATCCGAAAAATTGAGGGCAAGATTACAGCAGCTAACCGCCTGATCAAGCGAATTACAAACAAGCACACAGGAATAAAGGAGGACAGCATCATGTGCCCTATATACTCGTTTGCAATCAGTCACATCACTTATGCGGCCGTCTTCCACGACTGAACTGTCACCCAAAGGGAGAAACTTAACACTTTTACACCCAGAATCTACAAGATCGCCCTTGGTCTACCGGAACCCACGAGCACCACTCGTCTGCATATAATTGGGGGTATACAACACTCCTGAAAAAATGGTGGATGCGCAAAGAGTCTCGCAACACGAACGTATGTCCCTGACAGCCGCGGGTCAGTACTTCCTGGAGAAGCTCGGCCTGAATTTTCACGTCGAACAACGTCAGAAAGAGGACATTCGAAAAATCAGCGACACGCTGATCATTGCCCATCTTCCTAGAAATATGCACCCGGAACATAACGCGGGTTGACGCCAGGCTTGTGCTAAGGTAATGCTGCGCTTCTTCAGTGAGTAGAAGACTCTGCGCTTCGTGGACATGGTAGAATGCACACACAAACAGCGGTTCACGGTAAAACCTCTGTACCTTCGGAAAAGTACAGCCTTGTTTTCATCTGCCCCCGTTCCTCCTCTCCCACCACAGCTTCTTGTCTCTTCGTGTGGATGCGGCGCAGAACCGGTTTTCGCTACTCGGCACCATGTTGGATGCGCCAAAGCGCCAATGTGTTGCTTGTTCACCGCATGCAAAATGCAGGACGCTGTAAAAAATTTTTCTCAAAAAATGGTTTATGATTCAAGCTTTATGATTATTGCGGCTGTCCTGAAGCACAGCCTGTGTTTGCAACAGCGTGCTCGTTGCGTGTGCTCCTTATGAAATGAACCGCTGGCACTTGCAAAAAAAAATGCTTTGTTGAAATACATATGACGATCTGTCGAACTTTTTCATTGCTTTGAGGTGATACTGTGCATTGAGTTCAGAGAATACATCGCTAGAAATGGGTGAGTGGTAATTTTGGCAGTGATGACGCGACGGCGCTTTTCGACCTCTACATCACAGCACCGTCCTGGTAGTCCAGCGATTCGAAAAAGTTTCCGTGTGCAAAAACGACCTTTATCACCTACATTATCTGCATCGCTCCATGAAAAACCTCAAGACAATGATTGCAAACTGCAATCATTGCAAAAACATCTCAGAACGGCGTACTGCATGCACAAGTCATTAGACAGGCAGAGGAGAGGTAGCATGTGAAACGTCACAAAGTTCTGAGCGAGCACTTTCAAGGAAATTGTTGACATTGCTGCAGTTATAAAATATCGAGATAGTTTGTGCACATGGGAACTATTTCTTCCTAAATGGCATGGCTTATGCCACCACAGCCACGATTTCAATATTTCTTACCGGTTCAATCTTTAATGAGCGTGCCGAGTTTACTTAATTTAATTTCAACCTGTTCTCAATAAACCCAGTTATGTATATCAGCGCCAGATACACAAGGAAACACTATGCTGCGAAAAGAAGTTTAAATGACATAGAATTCGCTACAACTTGTGCATAATTTGCATCAGCTATTCTGCCGTAATATTGATGGTGAACGCACCCAGTCTTTCTGAGAAAATCAACGCAGAAGAATCATTACACAAAGCCGTCTGCGAGGCAAGTCCACGGCTATACAGGAGCGGCTAATGTAGTAGCGGCGGGGTGCCACTGGCTCAAAAGCAAACTGCAAGCTCATCGCGCGTTACAGGGGGCGCCACTGTCACTAGCAAAAAAAAAAAGCAACGTGCCGGAGAGGAGGCGGCGAGGGGAAGAGCAGATGGTGGTACTTTTACGAAGTATACAGGTTTTAGTTCAAAGCAGTTGTCTTAAATGTTAACTCCCGGCTTACCCCCACGTATAGTGTCAGTACAAAGTATCCAGACACCGCGGAAGAGGTTGCGATTGCGCTCGCCGACCCCATCTGCAAGGTAGTTCTTAGCGACTCGCAATCCGCAGTTCGTAACTACGTGCGCTGACGCATTTCTCCCGAAGCTCTACAGATTCTGAAGAAGGCTGGTTGACAGCGATTCAATAGCACCGTGATTCTGTGATTCCCAGCACATGTCACCACCCCTGCCGAGGAGGGCTCCCCAAATTCAAATGAGGTGGCACACCGCCATGCGCGAGAAACGACTCGCCGTGCAGAGTCTGAGACCGCCTTGTCGAGTTCGGACCTCCTAGTTCAAACATGTAGGAACGCTTAGTGAGGTATAACGACATAACCAAGCACTACCAGTTAAGCAGGCGGATATGGCCCTCACCTCACCCTAAGCTGAAATGATGCCAGGCAGTCATCTGGCGATGGCTGCAGACAGACCTCTTCTTCAGTCTAGTGCGATTGCGGCACATTTTCCCCGCATGATACCCGAGTGCTACTTGCAATTTGTCAGGCAACTTGAGCCGATAGTTTCGGATCTCCAGTCGGAGCTTCAACATCAAGACACAAGAGTGGGCAGCCCAGCGGGCTCGAGAGGCGGCAACGTGGCAAGGCCTTGAAGCCCCCTCATAGAAGACGTGATCACGGGTTGTAAACATCACTGGACTTTCAATAAAGTTGTTTGCATCCATTTAACCCTCCAAAGTCGACACCGATTCGAAGCTCACCTCTGCTCTTTTTGGCGACTACCATAAGTGCGCACCACTCTGTGGCCTCGTTGACTCTTCTGATGACGCCAAGTTTCTCCATTCGCTCCAACTCATGCTTGACAATGATCAGAATGAGCAGGGTTACTCGCCGTGGATATGTAATAGCACTGGGCTTGGCATTGGGGAGTACTATTATTCTGTATTCTGTCTTGAGAAAGCCCAGGTCTGTTGTCAGGTTGGGGTATTGGCAGAGAATGTTAGCTGGGTCACTGACCTTGCCTGTTGGCACTGTGACCTCGAGGGAAGGATATCTAATGTTTTGATTGCTGGCTATCCGAGAAGTGCATCATGTAACTTGTCAATCATGTAGGCATCTTTCTGGCACACACGGCTGTTCCAGCGCCGGGTCGCCCAAAAAAGTCCTACTGTTGCGATTTTGGTCTGACCTAGTCTCAGCAGTTGATTCTTGGCCTCCTTCAGCTTGGCCATGGCTTGTTTGTTGTATAGACTTATAGATATAGCGATTACATCTGCACCGGTGTCTACTTTAAACTTTGTTGGTGAGCCATTTACTGTAATATCGGCCCTCCAAGGCCCAGAGTCCTGTTCGTCAGTGAGTTGATCCAAGTAAATTTCTTCCAAAACGGCTTGGTGGGCGTTCTTTTTACTCTTTCAGGAGGCAGATAAGCACACGGCGACAAAGTGTCCCTTTTTGCCGCAGGCACTGCGTATTTCCCTGTTCGCAGGGCACATAGGGTGCATTGTGGAGCCACACCACTTGAACGTCGACCCAGTTTGGTCGCACTATGTTTTCTGAGAGCGCAGGTTTGGCTTTCCTTTGTTCTTTGAAAATCCACGCATAGCGTCTATAGCTGGAGGCGCCTGTTGCTGCGGTCGTAGGTCCTTTTGTGCCTGCTGGATTGTTTCTGAGTTGCGTGCAGCGGTGACGGCAGCTTCTAGAGTCAACTCGGCATTACGTTGCAGCTTTTTGCTTACTTACGATTCTGCGAGATTGACGCGAGCCTAATCTGGATCAATTCTCCTTTCAGATCACTTGAAGGTTTCGGTTAGTCTGTAGAGTTCGGTTATGAACACGTCGACTAACTCATACGCTTCTTGCTTCTGGCTGTTTTTGCCCACTCATATCTCATGTTCATGCGCGGCACAAAATGTTTCACGAAGGCTCATGTTACCGCATTGTAGTTGAGTTTCTGAGCATCTGAAAGTTTCAGTAATGCCAGGACATCCTATGCTTCACAGCCCACCGCATAGATGAGTGTGTTTACCTGAGTTTCCTCGTCTTGTTTCTTAAAACCTGAGATAACACGGTACTGCTTTCATTGTGTAAACCACTGCTTCCACTCTATGGGCCACTAAATGCCGAGCTTTTCCAACAGCTTAACAACGAATGAGTTGAGGGGGGTTGCAGGCTGCGCTGTGGGCCCTGTAGGCGATGCCATGAGTATGGTGAGCTGCGAAGTTCCATGTTGCGATGCCGGCGTTTCTTGGGCTTACTTGAACGGTGGCATGCTTTCTTCACTGCATTGTTGTAGATTCTACATATCCCACTTCTGACACCACGTCGTGACCGTAGATGAAGTGCACGTCGGAGGGAAATACAATTGTTTAATAACCTGTCAGCTGTAAGCACGCAGGCTTGCAGACTACATTATTTCCACACCGCAGACCCTGGTCCTTTGCGCACCGTCCTACCAACTGCTGTCCACATGACTCGTGACGCCGTGCACTTGGCGCCCTCTCGTAGTGCCCACGACAGTCTCATGACTCATAGTGATTTTTGAAAGCATTTTAAGAAGCTGAAACTACTATTTCATTACTAATGAGCATTGCCGCCTTCACAGCCAATGAAACTTTCCTTTTGCAGGGGGTCAATGAAAATATTCTACAAATATAATTAAAAGACTGGCACATTGATAACATTGCTGAAAGTTTATCATCTCTAGAAAGCCTACGAAGTCAATATAGATGACAGTTTTCTTATTACTGAATTTAAAGTATGTGCTTTAAGTTTATGTGACTGACTACCCAGGAGATTTAATTGATATACAAAAAGGTATGCTATCTGCCCAAACACCCTACCTATTTCTTTTTTAGCACACTTGATAAAGAAATAACAGTACTGAATCAAAGAGATCACCACTGATTTACCAACAACAGTGCAGTAGTTAACAATGTCAAGAAAGTATTACAAAGCTATCATGTAAAGTGAAAAGAAACATGAGACAGCTTACGTAGGAGTGCTGTTGCTGCACAAACTTCAGGAAGGCAGACATGTCAGGCCTTCCAAAATGGTTTATTGCCTTCAGGCCGGTAAACATGCTCCTGTTGGACACCCTTTGGAAGTGGTTTTCACAAATGTACTGAAAAAAGGCAAGGAGATGGTATAATAATCAAGATGCAGACAAAAAAGGGGAAATACACGGTTGAACGGGCAGCTTACAGAGCAAGCCCAAAGCAAGGAAGCCAAAATGGACAGTAAAAAGTGCAGACTTCCAAGTGCGCAGTGGAAAGTCCGCGCTGTTCCCCGTCTTTTTCTCTCACTTCGTTTCTTTGTGCTTGTGCTAGAGGCATTGTAATATGAACCAAGCAGCCTGCGATAAGGTTGTGTTTTTTTCTAATGTGCATACTCATGAATGCCATTTCAGCAACCTACCAAATGCAAGAAGATTCGCATTGACCCTGAGCAATGTCTCTGTACACTATGGTGCTTGAAAACCGCGGTCACAGGTACAGCACGACATGCCACTTAGACATCAGGTCGCACTGCATGGCACTTAATACTTTACGAGCTGCTGCTTGCTCATATTGCTAGGCTGACTAAAATGAAATTCACAGGCACATTGCTTGATTTTCATTTGAAATGGCAGCATTGACTTTAAGGAGTAGCTTTGGATGAGCAGAATCAAATTAACAGCCATATCGTCCACCTGCTCTGTGTGTCAGTATTTACATCCGCAGAAATAGGTATATTATAGGTCTAGATTATCAAAGATAAGTTAAGTGCACTGCATACGAATAATCACCATGGAGTACTCTTTTAGCAAGACTGCAATTAAGGATTCACTTTCGAATGTGTACATTAAACGTTATAACATTTTCAACAAATGATAATGCACCTAATCTGCCTCTATTCACTTCTCACAAGTTTTTGAACGAAGAGCTTAAAAAGAAACCTCCAACTTAAAGTAGAACTCATGCCGTAAACTATGTTTAAGATTACTCACAGATAAAGATGCAATATTCAAGTCTGCAGGCAGAACAGAACACTGCACAGAATGATTTTCTTTGCGTTACACTGCTATCTTGTTCCACCTGTGTTTATTTTTGATGGCGAGGCTGTTCAAGATTTTTGTTGCACCGAAAAACTGTTTTCAAGAAATCTGGCTGGTGCGTGCCCAAGGAATGCGAGGAATCATGTAAATGCCTATTGATGGGAATACACACTTACACCTACAAGTAGCTGATAAGTAAAGTGGGGGGGGGGGGGGGGGGTTGGCAGTTTGGAGCATAGGATAGCTATGTATAACATAGTACAGCAAATGGATGGCAAAAAAAAAAAACAAAAACAAAAATGTGAATGTGAGGAAAAGAGAGAGGAGGAGAATGAAGCATGCCAGAGCCTTGCACTCTTGCTGTTCCCAGATGAGTCTTACTGATCTTCCTTCTTGCTTTTCGAGCCCCAGGCGGCATGCAAAAAAGCTCAAGAAGTATATAGCAGGTTTATTGTACCTGCATGCAGTTCCTGAGCAGCGAATAGTGTTCTGGCTCTGGCTAAAATAATTTCGGGCCCAGCTGGAACATCAAACAGCGAAGCTGTGCCTTTTGAAAAGGGGAGCTTTTTTGGAGTCGGAGTCAGGTCAGTGTCGTAGACAGAAAATATTGCGGCCATGTGCCTCAGAGCGTGGGTAAGTAACAAGCAGCTCTTGGTAACTGTTGGGTTTTAACGCCCCAAAACCACGATATGATTATGAAGGACGCACTTGTGGAGGGCTGAGTTTGGTTTTTTCAAAGCACACCTAAGTACACATGCCTGAAGCATTATCGCCTCTAACAAATATTCAGCTTCTACCACCACAGCCGAGTCATGCATAGATTAAGGAAGTGAAAAAAGGGAAGAAGTGAGAAGGGCCAACGTGAACGGGAAAGGATGCTGTAGTCTTGAACAGCACAGCAAAGGGTAAGAAAGCACGGTTAATGCGAGTTTAGTGTAGCCGAACTAAGACATTCTAAAATCCAAGGGCTAGCTAAGCCAAGAATGGAGAAGTAAAATAAAGGCAGTGTGGTTTTGAAGCTCATGGCGATGTCCACGGTCTTTTTCATTTCTGAATAGTCAAGACACAACAAATGACGGCGAAGATGCCCTTCGTTCGCAAGCCGAACTGCAACGTACCCAGGCTAATGCCCTGGATACAGCACGCGTTTCGACGCAAGAAACGCACTCTCGACGCCACACATTGCAAGTAGCGTGAGAGACCACATGGGGCTTTCTCCGTCTTTGCCGTTTTTCCCGCTTTTGGACCGGGAAATAGCACCAACGGCCATTGGCGATCGATGGCAATGATAGATAGACCATTTCAAAAACCTGCTGGTGGCACTGTAGGTCAACAATGCTGCACAGAAGAAGGCACTGCCCCTTCACTACATCGGCAAGGAAACATACGTCTACGCCCCACAGACACCGGTTGCTCCAACGAGCTCAACAGCCTCCAGCAGCAACACCGCTACAGCAGCCGCCAACTAGGCAGACGAGTACAAGCAGGTCAAGAAACGACTTCACGATCTCTTTATGCCGATAATGAACCGTGAGTACGAAATCTTCACCTTCCGAAGATTGACCCAACAAGATGGCGAGACAATCGACAACTTTTATATGCGCCTGTTCTCAATGGCAAGATACTGCTCATTTCTCGACGTCGACTTGGAAATCAAGTCGCGAATCGTGCTGGGCACTTTGTCCACGAAACTTCGATGTTTCGCACTCCAAACCGATGTTGCACTGGAACAACTCCTGACTCAAGAGCGCAGTTACGAAGTAACATCAAGACAGCTAAAGGAAACGCAAACGGCAATGACCACCGAGGTTAACCAAGTTGTACGCCGGCAGAAACATTGGAAATCTGTGTCAGGACACAAACCATCGCATAGCACGTCCACAGAGGGAAATAGGAAGTGCTTCAACTGCGGCACACCATGGCCCCATGAAAGCGGCAGGTCATCATGTCCCACAGCAAACACAACCAGCCTGGCAAGCAATAAAACGTGACCACTTTGCTGCAGTCTGCAAGGGAAAGAGACAACCCTGAGACACTGCACACCGATTGGTGAACCAGAGCTCGGACTCTGATTCGGATGACCACGCCCTTGCAATACAATGAACCAATGGCAGAGCTCCATGAGTAACAGTGTCCCTCAACAATCACGATTTTGAATTCATCGTGGGCACATGAGCAACAGTGAATATCGCCAGTCAAGGCACATACGATGCTATACCAAGTAAAACCAAACTTGAGTGGCCCACTGCCAAAAGTCTTTGCCTTTGGATCAAAAAGTGAGCTCCTCTTAGATGGCCAATTCACGTGCACATGCAAAATTTCCTACTAGTGCACCAAGCTCCAAGACACAGTGTTGGTCAGAAGCACATCGAGTGAGCCCTTATTATGCTTCAAATCGGCTGAAGCCTTTGTACTTTATCCCTTCAAAGCATTCAGGACGAGCATCTTAGATTGTTTGAAGGACTAGGCAAACTTCAAAGAATTGAAGTGAAGCTACACATTAACAAGAGTGCCCCTCCGATAGCGCAAAAGCTGAGGCTCATTCCATTCAGCATTCGAGATGCAGTCATAAAGGAGATTGAACGGCTTGAAGAATTTAAAGTAATTGAGAAGGCAACTGGCCGCACAATGTGGGTGTCTCCGATTGTTGTGGTACCCAAACCACACTCGCCTGGTGTCGTTCGATTGTGTGAGGACATGCATTGTGCCAATCAAGCCATAACAAGAGAACGGCATGCATCTCCAACCTTAGAAGATCTTGTCAGTAGCCCGACTGATGCATCAGTCTTTTCAAAACTTGACCTGAATGATGGCTATCATCAACTGGTGCTACATGAAGAATCAAGGTACATCCCAACTTTCACAACACTTGTTGGATTATACCGATACAAGCACCTGAACTTTGGAATCAATGCCGCAGCAGAACTGTTTCAAAACACAATTAGACACGTTATTACAGACATCCCAGGAGTAATCAACATTAGTGACAACATTTTTGCATTCGGCAAGACCGAAAACAAACACAATGACTGCCTAAAGAAGTTACTGCAACGCCTTGATAGCTGTGGACTGATATTCAAACCTAAGAGACGTTGCTTCTCTCAGTCCGAACTGACATTCTTCGGGCACATCCTTTCATCAACTGGCATCAGGCCCGACCCTACAAAGGTCCAAGCAGTGGTAGAAATGTCATCACCAAATAACTCATCAGAAGTGAGGAGCCTCCTGGGCATGATTACATACAGCGGTTGATTCATACCTAACCTGGCAAACTTAACAGCACCTCTTCGCAAGCTCACAAGAAAAGATGTCGAATGGGAATGGACAGATGCACACGAAACAGCTATCGACAAGCTATAGAAGGCCCTCACAGGTAGCCGTGCTCTGGCCTATTTTAACAGCAAGAACACAACTTATCTCACCGTTGATGCGGGCCCAGAGGGTCTAGGAGCCATTCTGGTTGAAGCAGATGGTAGTGATATTCAAATTGTGGCCTATGCAAGTCGTGCCCTCACCAGTGCAGAGCACAACTATTCCCACATTGAAAAGGAGACACTAGCTCTCGTGTGGGGAATCGAGCACTTCAACATCTACCTGTACGGGACCCATTTTGTGCTTCACACTGACCATAAACTATTGGTCAGCATACTGGCCAGTCCTGCTGCTCAGCTGTCTGCTCGAATAGAGCGCTTGTGTCTTAGAGTCCAACTCTATAGCTTCACTGTGCAACATCAGAAAGGCCCAGTCAACCTAGCAGACTACATGTCACGTCATCCGCTCAAGTCAAATACAGAATACAGAACATAACTCATAACAATTACAGAACACACAAGGTGTCTGACGAATGCCTTCTGTTCCTCTCCCAAATAACAGTGCCAAAAGCGTTGACAACACAAGAAGTAATCGAAGCAGCCGATGGTGACTCAACGTATTGTCAATTAAGAGAAGCCATCTAAGACGAAGGTACTACGAGGCCTGCCTTGTGGAGTGAATCTGTGGAGAAAACATACAAGAACATTGAGTCAGAACTTGCCTTGTCACCAGATGGTCTCATCCTTCGCTAGTACTACCAGCCAGTTTACAACAAC